GGATGGTGAACGACAACGAAGCGGACAGCCGTCATCGTCTCGATACGATACGCAGATGACGGAGCGAAGCTCACAGTGAGTGTAGTGTTGTGTATACCATTTAGAATTGGAAATGTAATTTAGAATTAGAATGTAAAAATACTATGTATATGTACATTAATCAGTTAATCGTGGGCAATTATGTTACACCATTACGTCGATCAGAGAGCTTTTCATTTTCGCTTCGTTCTATTCTTTTATCTTTTTTGCTTATTTTTATTACTTCTTTTTTTCTTCCTTCTCGACATATCTCTGTTGTACTCGAAGAAGCAGCACCGGCCGCACGCTGAAAAATTTCCGGTCGAAACGGCCGTCGACCAGTGCTGATTCCCTGTCTTATTTTTTTTTTCCTCCTTTCGTTTTGCATTAATATTCCGTAACATATGTTACACACGTCGAAGAACAACGTCGATCGGTTGGCACATAAAACGGAAGCAACATTTAGACCAATCGCGGCGCGATAATAGTTATATACAAACATGAGAACGCAGGGAGGAGTACGACGTACTTTCGTATATTTTATTGGCGTGACGCTCGGTATAAAGGGATAAAAATTATTTCTCTACGCGTGTGAAAAAGTAGAAGTAGAGCCCGAGCAATAAGAAAGATCCTCATAAAAGTACTCCCGTATTGTGAAAAAATGTGGCGTTACGTGAAGGCGAATGGAACACTGGCGATAACAATTTTGGAACGGATACAATTGCGCGGCGTCGTGATGCTCGTTCTCCACTTGCCCTCCACATTTTTATCCCGGCGTCGATTCCTGATCCGAAATGCTCGCGCGTCGTTGAGTATTTTTTGTCGCACTTTTGTTTTTTTTTTTTTTTTTTTAGAAACAATGACGCTGCCGCTAATCTCTATTTATCGATAATTATCTCGTCGCGGTAAAAAGAACGATACAAAGTGAATATATGTATACCAATATACACCTAGTATACAAAAGCTCTCGATTCTTCGTTTTTTTCCATTTTCCCATTTCATAGTTTGATATAATTCGTAATTTAAGTATTTCCTTTCTCCCTTTTTTTGTGTCTATCTAAGTGCTATGTACATTATATGTTTTATATACATGTAAAACGATTAATTGATTCTTTCTTCCATATCCTTAATGATTGTATAATTAGGATTGACTATGTCTTAGAGTAATCAACGAAATTACGAGCTGTCGTTATTATTATGTAAAATATCAAATGTCGTACGTGTTAGATGGTATGTCCATCTCCAAGGTACCATTTTGGACGAATAGCGGTCCGTCTAACATGCCTAGCACTTTGATGAGCAAATACTTTGGAGATTACATAAATCTAATAATAATCTTCAGGTAATATTAAGTATAGATGATTTGTTTTTTTTTTTAATTACAAATATAAAACATGTATATGTAAATAGAACTCTTAATTATGCGCGAACATGTTCATCTCTAATTGAGCATACGTGAATTCTTATCATCAGTCTAAGCCGAACTGTGCGGCTCCATACACAACGGCGGTTTAACAATACACGTCTCTTTCTCTCTCTCTCTCTCTCTCTCTCTCTTTCATTTTTTAATTTCTCCTTCTATCTCCTTTTGCCTTAAGTTTCATAGTTATCTACCATGTTAACAAATAATATCGCTGTAATAAGAAACAACAATATATATGCATACGCTACGGAAAAACGTTATCCATAAAACTTTCAAACAATCTCTTTAACGAGCGATGTGACGCACGTGGCCGCCGGCCAGGTAAAGTATAATTGTCTCCTACAAACAATTCCACTCGTCGCGGAATGAAGCGTGGATCCCGGAAGAACTCTCTTCCCGTCGTCGCGAATCGGTTCCTCTTTTACGAAATCCCCAACTTACGGGAATCTTAATGCCAACGAACGAAACGTAGTCCCGAGCAATTTTATAAATAAAAATTACAACGATCATTACAATCGTACATACACGCGCGGAAATCGTTATAGCATGTAAAATGTCGATTCGAGGGAACGCAACGTCGTTGGGATCCTTGCACCTCATTGTCACAGCCCTTTACCGCCGTAAATGCGGACACAGCGTGCGTTACATGGCTTTCTTCGCAATATATCCCCTTTACAATAGGCCAAATGCATTGAGTTTCATCCACGTCACCGTCATGGTCACCGTCGTCGTCATCAACGTTAGCGTCATTGTCGTGGTCACTTTCAAAAATATATATACGCTGACTACTTAGGCTTTCGACGAAGAACGGAAAGACGTTGTCTCGTTCACAATCAACAGGATTAATTTTTCTTTTTTTTTTTTTTTTCTTTCGGATATACAGTGTTATTACCCTCTAGCAATACTTCGTTTATAGCCTAGGTAATAGTGAGACCCTCATATGATCCATTTGAATTACTTTTTTCTCGGAATTACTTTTTTCGTCATGTTTTTTCTCTTCCGACCGCGTGAAACACTGAGACGTTATCGCACTATTTACACGGCTTAATCATAATTAGTAATTGGAAATAAATGCAAAAATATATGTACGAACATTTAGTCGGGCTAATGCAAGTATATCCGCGCAGATTTTTCCTCCCGATCGTTCGCGCGAGTCGCGTGACAATCTTCTTCGTGCGCTCTTCTCGAAACAATCGACAGGGTATATTTACCCTTAACTAAAAAATCATTACGTAGCAATTCAACTTATGTACTATTGTCTTTGTTCAAGATATCACTACGCCCAGACATTCACTATGTCCCCGTTCTTTCGTTCTCCTCTGGGAAAAAAAAAAATCTCTCGCTGATTATGTTACTCTTCGCGTGTCTTGCATCTCGCGTGGCGGAGACGTTCGTGATAGAAAATCCTGACTGGGTCCGCGATGATCGAATCACGATCTCAGCTCAACTCGATTTTCGGCCGAGTGAATTCAACATTTGTCGTCATTCGGTTTTTAAACGAGCGTGAAGATGCATAATGGATGCATTCGCTCGTGTACTCGTGGCGAATGAAAAGTTCGGAATTACCAATAAAACGCAAACGTACATGGGTTCTTTACTTTTAACGACCGATTGCTTACGATTGACAATGCGTGAAAACGCGAACGGTCGTGTAACGTACATTGTATATGTGTATAATTTATCGCGTGTATGTAGAAGGTAAAAATATATTAAACGCCCGGTCGGTACGAACTATCTATCAGTATTGACTTCAGGATCGGCAGTGAAACCTCCGTTTTCTACGTACGACAGTGCTCAGATTCGTTTTTCGTTTCGTTTTATTTATAATTATTATATTTAGAATTACTCAAGAGACGACAATCGCAGCGCAGTTGCGTAAATAGTGATATAAGTAACTTTAATGCAAATAATTAAAGCGCGAATGTGACTTATGGTTTGCAAATTATGTTATGCTAATAACGTACTTAAACAGGTCATTCGTGTTACAGATATAGTGTACTGGTAAAGTTCTCCCGCGTAATTTTCAACACATCATCGCGTAATCTCTCTTTCTTGGGTAGAATAGTCTGAAGCCAATTGAAGATGGAATTACTATTGGTAATTACTTTTGTGTTTATCAGTATATCTTTCATTCTTGGTAAATATAGAAATATAGAAATAAATGGTAAACACAGAAGAAAAAAAGTCTGAAGTTTTCATGCTTGAAAAATGTAATTATCAATTGAGTGGCTCAAATAAAACTTATTATGTCATTTTTAAACATATTAAATTTACAATAAATATTTGCTAAATTATTCATATTAAGTATATAAAAAATGGACAATTTCATTAAAAAAGAAAAAAAAATGACCTTCATATCCTTTTGGTCCTCTACTTAAAAAAATAACGTGATCAAAGTATGCCCCCCCGCCCCTTCCATTTCTTTCATTTAAAACATTTTCTTGTATTAATAGTTTCGAAAAATTGATCGTAGAACAATAGACACTTCTTGTAAATATTTTTATATTGAAAAAAAAGATTTACTTTTTAAAAAATTCCATCCGCTTTGAATTTCTTGCGTAATAACGTAATATATGTTAAGAAATTTAAATATTTTTTTACAATATATGAATATAAATATGACAGTATGCAATCCCCCTTTATTATTTATGTATAATTTTAAGTAAGATATTAAAATCAACATCCTCTCTGAATATACAATAGTAAGTATTAAGATCACAATCCTTCCGAAAATTACAATTGACTTCAGGCTCTTCTATTCATTCTCGCAAGGCTCATAAAATCCTGAATGCTCTTGTAAAGTACGAAATGATGGACTCACTGAGAATTCTTGTCATTTAATGCTAAAGGTGGCTATATTTTATAACTTTAAGTGTTTCACTAAGTGGGAATGTCGAGATTAGAGATCAAATTGCCACATTTAGCGGTAAACTCGACTAACACTCGTAAATATCGTGTAGAAGGAGGTATCGTTAACTTAAATAGAGGATCATAAACGACACGAATAGAGAATGGGAAGGGAAAGAAAGCTTAACGTCGCTGCTATCAGATTTTCTACAAATTCCAATGCACACCTCTTTTGTAATAACGATTGTCTCGCCTCCCTCAGTCTCGAATTGTCGGGATGAACCGACTTGACGTGAAAGTAAATAATGGACGGTCATGACGGATATGCCCACTCTTGCGAGCTTTAAAAGGGGCAGTATTGTGCGATTATTAATTAATTGCTATCAATATTTTAGAAATCAATATTTCTGATCTTGCGCAACAGTCGTAATTATAAAAACCTGATACCCCCAATGAGATCAGTATCTTGGAACTAGAATAACCAACGTCAAATTGGAAGACAGATGGACAATTTTGTGCATTAAAAAAGCTTGCAAGAACTAGCTTGTTTTCTATGAGTTAATTTTTGGAATAGAGATTTATTTTATAACAGTTAGAACCTAACTAGAAAAATAATAGAAATAAAATATTAAAAACATGTAATTTGAATATATATTATTTTTTTCTTCCAAGCTTTAAACCATGATATATAATATTGGTTATTCTAGCGCCAAAAGACAATATATTCCATGATATTTATAGTAACAATAATGTCACTGTTGATCGTGAAGTTTGATTGCACACTTAGAAATTTGGTAATATCTATTTCGGCGTCAGTCACAGTCAGAGCGAGGGAAGTCATTCCCCATATTGATATTTCAAGAATCTCTCGCGGATTTCCCGACAGTTGTTGATATCAGCATAGTGATATCTAAACATAATCGCTATGACGAGAAGCGTACGTGCTGACGTGCACAAAGTAATCGAAGAACAAAATTATCATGGGGTTGTTCTCTCGTCTATCTCTCGGATCATGCGTGTATTTACAGAAAAAATATACTTTCCTCGACGATCGGTGCGTCGATTTGGAGCTCGATCGTTCGATGCGTCGTGATTACGTCGCTGTTTAGCGAGTACGCTAAATAACGCTAAGGCGAGCGGACAAAGACGAAGAATTAGAGCAGGGAAAACGATAAAGATGAGGGGAGGGAAAGGCAGAATAGCGGAGGAGGAACGGTAGAACCATCCTCGAGCTTTTTGGAGAACGCTCGCGTTGTGTTGGATCGCGCGGTCATTCTTTCTTTCTCTCCTTCTCCAAGATCGCTCCTTATCGAGCATTCAATTATACATACATGTATCCCTAAGATTAGAATTCAATCGCGTAGGAGAGCCCCGCGCGTGTCTCCTTTCTAGGAAGTAACCGCGTGGAAGGGAAAGGCTGTTTACAGCGTGAACCTGGTGCACCACTCTCTCGTCCCGCATCAACGTTCTTATTTTCTCTTTGTTTTTGTCTTTCTCTATTTACACACTACACACTTCGTCGTACTTTCGTTTCTTGTGCACCAAATAGAGTCCTCGGAGATTGTTCAGGCGCATGATGATGAGTGCCAGAGCCTTCAGCCGCGACACCGTCGTTCGTGAGCCGTCGCTGCGCGCTCGTCCTCTTCGCTGTCGTTTAGGGAGATGAACAATGACGATGCGAATGAGGTGGACGATTCAGAGGAGGATCATCACGACGCTCTGCGTCGTTCAGAGACGCGTGCTCCTCTCCGTGACCGTAGTTGGTTGGCGGTCCTCGTCGTCGTTCTGAGCGATGGCACGATATTTGCCGCGCGTCGAGCTGGGCCCGAAGATTGGTGAGCCTCAGACAAGATGACCGTCGATGTCGGAGTAACTAGGCGTCGCCGCAAATGTCGACAGCGGATGACTCTGGCAGGACGGCGGCGGCGGATGCAAATGCGGATGCGAATGAGGACCTCCGTTGTTGGTACCGGCACGAGCAAACGTGGCGGGTGGCGGCGGCACCGATGGCGGTATCGGCGACTTGGTGCCCGCAGTCATCACGGTGACGTCGGGTGGTGGTACGGGACGTGGCAGCGTTCTGGTGCGCGTCAGGGTACCGGTGCTGGCTCCCGTCATGTGCCCACCCATTATGTGACCTGTCGAACCCATGGACGAGGGATAGTAGGGTCCGCCGGTTGGATCGATGGCGGGTGGCGCCGGACTCGGATTCCCGTCGTAGCCTATGTAGCCTCGACCGCCATTGTCCATCTCCACGCTGTAGAAGCTCACGTCGTTGGGCGGCGCCGGGCTCGGATTGCCGATGTAACTTGACTTCGACACTGTAACATTAGATGAAGACAATTGTTTTTAAGAGGTGACACGAAAAGCTACATAGACGTTAGATACTGCCGAAGAGACAATAATGAAAATTCAGCGGATTCCATACATGCTATGATTTATGACACTGCAATCCGTCAAATTTCGTATCTAGGATTCCAATATTTTTCTTTATATTATCCCTTAGTGCTTTAGGACACATGATGTATCACTTTATCCATATTCAATGAACACGGATATAGAAGAATATATCGTACAATCATACAATCTACGGAATTACATACCTATATTTCTTATCATCGAGAATTAAAAATAATAGGAATTTTTTTTTTAACCTTTCGATGTCGCACTGGAGAAACAACAAGTTCGTTATGGCATATCCAACAAATTCGATTGTTTATAACTTTCATGAAAATAAATATATTTTTAAAGTAAACATTTTTTTCAATCAAAACATTATACATTAAAGAATATATAACATAAACAAATATATATATATATTTTTTTTTATTAATAGAAAAATGACAAGCAATGGGAAAAATTGGAAAAGTTGGAGGAAGAAGCTGGATATACCATACTGAGAGTGACATCAAAAAGTAATATATTTAAAATTGTAGTAACAAGGAGTATATTAGAATTTACGTGTAACGTATAAAAAAAGATAGCGGATCGTACTGTATTTATATAATTTCTATTTGATACTTACACGTACCTGAGAGAGTCCCGCTGGCGGTGGTCCGCTGCGGCGGCGAGTCCATGTTCATGGACGTTTGCATGTGATTGCTGCGACGACCGAGGGTGCCCTGATGAACCTGCATCTCTAAACCGCCTTTCCCGAAATCCTGCATAGTTTGATCTATTAAATACGTGCTAGCTGCGGTTTTGCGCCCCTCGTCCTGTTATACAACAAATTGAACGACAAATTGATTTGTGATTTGTGGTCCGATATCCGGTTACATTTCGCAAATAACACAGACAGACATGAAACGGGCTTAGGAAGATAAATCTATTTGTTTCAAAAATTTGCTCCAATAAATCATAAAATTTCTCTTATATTAATGCAATCAATATACATTATACATATTGTTTCTGATATAATAGAATATATCTAAAAGAATTATATTTTGTTACATACTGTTTCTATCATTAGACTTTAAACATAAATCTGAAAATAATATAATAAGTAATTTCTATACATAAATAATTTAATTCCTTGCATTTCACGCCATTCTTTGTAATTAATATATTAATATAAGTTTCAACAAGTGTCTTTTTATATTTAAGATCCTTTCCAGTGGAAGTATGAGTAGAGAAGAGCGAGAGAGAGTGAATTATTTATATCTTGGTAGTATTAGAACTAGAATATTGATAATTAACGCTATAATACTTCAATCGCTAAAATATATTCAATTTGCATTTATTAACATTTACAATTAACTTCATTTCCATTTCAAATCTTCGTGCTAATTTTACGAAGATAATATTAACAATATTTAAAGTATCAAGTAGTCTAATAATTTAATTAATTTTACTAATCTAATTAATAATATAATTGACTTATAATAAGCTTATAATTAGCGATTTATTAATAACATTTAATGTTATATTATTAATAATAAATTAATAACATAATCATAAAATCTGTAATCACCGATAAATAGTGATACCTAATCGAAAATTAGTTTTAATCGTTGTATGTTAAGTCTGAATGCATAATTAACAATGAGAAATTTTATTACAAAGCTGGCTCCGATATCCGCTTATTTTGTTTTGTTTAGCTTGCTATTTTAAACGTTATTTTGCTTGTAGTCGTACAACGTATAATAGATTCACGCAAAGAATTTTGTTCGCACATTTTATGTATTTTTCTCGACGAAGAATAGCGTATCTTGTGAATGTCTACAGTATCGAACAGCGTCATACAATCGCCATAGCGTGTCAAATCGACGCGATCGAGATTAACCACGTTCTCCAATATTGCGCTTCCCTTCTCGAACATCTACGGATATGTAATGTACCCGCTAAACACGAACTCACAGTAACATTACATCAAAAATGCATTCAGAAATATAGGATGTTATCATTTGATCTTTGTTGTTCACGGAATGTTAAACGGATTAAAGGATAAAATGATATATGCACTGAGAAAAATTTCTAGTTGAAAATGAATAAACTAGAACATTCTAATCATGTAAATTAAAATTCTTTTTTAAAAAAAATCGTGATTTGTTCACTTTTAATTTCAATTAGTGTAATCCGAATTTCAATTAATGTAACCAGATTCTTTTTTTCAGTGTAAATGCAATTGGTTTCTGAACGCAGTTCAAATACATATTACAATTCCCGAGCCAACAATATAAATGTAGTATAATACATATTGTACATAACATACATATTGTATATAACAGTTACATTATTGAGTAGGAAATTATAATATTATAATATTAATTTGATGTTACTAATAGTTTGTGTTCAGCGAGATAAGATAATCTATTTATTAAAGGACGCATCGTTTCCACAACGTTTACCCCTTCAAAATTCATCGCGCACCGGATAGATTCCTGCGTTAATTGTAGTATCGAATATTAATTGAATATATTAGACTATTTTTTTATTAATTTTTTAAAATAATATTTCACGATTCGGCGGAACGGCGCGAAGTTGCCTGTACGCGGTTCGATTTTTTCCTAATGTCGCGCAACATATAAAGAACGTGCCAAAACGGTGGTTTATTCAGTTTATTGCATGTCGCGATGTTTACTCATCCCGAATGCGTGTGTCGCAAATGCAATAAACGGAAATGCTGAAACGACGAGTAATCATCGTGTTGTATTAACGTGTACACTCGCGCGAGATTAATCGCGTTGTTCAACGTCGCGTTAGTGGCGCGTTTCTCTTCGGTCGAGTTCTCGCCCCGCGTTATTCATTTACGGTCTATTTTATCTATTTGTTAAAAAATGCAGAATTTTCGGCGTTAGTTATTCATTCGGAACTTATTGCGCCAATAATTAAACAGATATTTGCATCAATTGTGGCATTTACAAGAAATAGCTTTACTGAAATCTTGTAAAAAAATTCTTTAAGAATTCTCGGATTTTTTCCAGGTATTTTTATTTAAAATTCCAGACAAGATTAGACAAATTTTTTAAATGCAACTTTGAAATAAATTGGAATGTAAGTAATGCAAATAGATTAAATATTGTAAATTAGTAAAAGAGAGGTATTCCAAGAGATTATTATCCATTATTTTCTTACAATTAAAATTGCCATTGCTTTTTTAATATCTGACAATGTGCATTTAGTAACTTTGTATTCTTTAAATTCTCGCGCGCGGTTTGTGGTGACGCGGATCCGCGTGAAGTTGCTGGCGCGCGTTTCGAAACATTGCCAACGTCACGCGGTGCACGATATACATAAATGGCACTGAAGCTTCCATGTCGGCTCGCTGCGTCTCGCGCTACTCGCTCATCCCGATTGCGTCGCAAGTGCAATAAACGTCGGAAATGCCGACACAAACCATGGGTGAGCATCGTGTTATATTATATCAACGTATACGATTACGTGAGATTAATCGCGTCATTCGATGTTGCGTTACTCGCGCGCTTATTCTTTTCGGTCGAGTTCACGTCCCGCGTCATCCATGGGCATAATCTATTTGTTAAAAAACGCGGGATTTCGGTGGTAGTTATTCATTCGAAGCTCATCGCGTTAGTTAATTGAATATAGATATTTGCATCAATTGTGACGTTCAGTAACTCTCAATTTTTTTCGATAATATTTCGATCGCGGATTCGCGTAAAGTTGCCGTTGAGTTTAGAGTCCTTCCTTATATCACAGTGCACATAATGGCGAAGCGTCCGCGCTATTTGCTCTCGAACGCGTCACAAGTGCAATAAACGTTGGAAACGCTGAAACCAATAACGGTTAAACATCGTGTTGTATTATGTCAACGTACACGGTCGTGCGAGATTAATCACGTCATTCAATGTCGTCTTAAGGCCCGATTTCACCAATGTAAAGGCGGCAGCACAGAGTTTTGTACAATATGTATATGAAAATAAATCGATCAAAATCTTTCATTTCCTTTTTTTTCGATGAAATAAAAAACTAATTGGTTGAATTTCTTCTGCTTTATGCATAAGGCATAAAGATTTGTGCTTCGACCTTTAGAGTAATTTTAATGTCGGTTCTATTTACTCTTTATCTTTTTCTAATCGAAGAACAGAATTCGCGCGCGCGGTTCGCAGTGATGAGGTCCGTGTGAAGTTGCCGACGTTGCCTTCGAGTTCTTCCTAACTTCGTGGCATGCATATGACGCCAAAACGTCGACTCCATTATATCTTCATATTCGTCCCGAACGTGTCGCAAGTATATACAACAAACGTTGGAAACGCCGAAACGAACAACGGGTGAGCACTGGACTGTATTATATATTGATTATAAGTACGATTGCAATTAACCGCATCGTTCTACAATCTCAACCGTTTCTATTTTCAGCATTCGTGGAGATGCGTCATGTTATGTATGTCCTTCTAAATCGCACATCAGATACGATCAGATCGATTAAAGTACTTATGAACCCTAATTAGGGAGAAATATTGATTAAACTGTCTAATAGTCAGCTCGACAATTGTGTTATGTGAATCAGCATGTTCGCGCGCATTACGAATTTCTCGCTCAACGCTCGTCATTACGTCGCGCATAATGAACGCCGAAAGTCGCGATCGGACGATCGATCGTCGCGTATTGCATTATTTTTTTCGTCACGAGTGCAATAAACATCGGATGTGCTGTACAAAGTGGCGAGAGATCGTCATGTCCCGTTAATTAGTAGTCGCGATGATAATTAGCTATTTAGTGCTTCCAATTGACTATTATCCACCTCAGTGACTATTTCGGGCGATGGGAACATCGACGGAGAAATAGCGGCAACAGTGTAACGACTGGTAAGTAAATTTGTTCGATCGTCGATTAATTAACCCGGCATTATCCCGGAAAAGCGAGTTTACCGCGAATCAGAAAAAATAAGCTATACGCATTATATTCTCATATTACATTCTCGTTCGATCGATAGTAATAAATTTGATATTTCGTGCGTGAAAAATTCGTTAATCCTATCTTTAACAGAATATAAAATAATAAAAAATAATAAAAAAATTTTTAACTAAATAAACAATAAATAATAAAATAATGAAAACCAAACAATAACCGAATAGAAACCAAATGTAAATTTTATCAGATTTTTAAAAAATTATTTTTTACCGAATTATTTTTGCGTGAAATATAATCTTTCTCTAAATTTATTGGTTTAAAAATTGTAAAGTATCTTTGGATTATTTACTTTCAAAAAATAATTTTTATATATCGACAGGTAAATTTGTTATTATATGTATCAATAAAGAAACATAGTCTTTTCATTTTCATTTACAGATCAACATCATGGCATTCAATTCCACGTCATTCCGGTGAGTTATATAAATTAAATTTTTTAATGTCATAAAATAACGTGAAAAGTTAAAACTAGTATTTTTTTTCTCTTCATTGAATTTGAACATCGATCACAATTGAATTTTAACATTGCGGTTCATCATATTTTATTACTCTCTCATTACTACTCTTACTTCCATTATACATGAGGTCTAACACTACTGCGAGAAAGAAAGCAAGTGTTTAGTGATTTAAAAAGCCAAGTTAGAGTGACTTTATGAAGAATTTATAAAACCGTAAAATCTTATTGGATTAAGATGTTGCGAGCATTTAACTAATAAGACTGTTATAATCATAGCGCTATTGAATTTAAGAGATACGTTTTGAGTTTAAGAGATACGTTAGATTTACCTGAGGGTAGTTACCTTTAGTCAAACTCTGCGATCGAATGATATGAGATCATTATGTGACAAATATAGGTGATGACATATTATAAAATATCAGGATTTTATACGAAAATGAAAGTACGTGCTACGTTTTGCGAAAGCTGCAAAAATAATTGTAATTTGAAAAAAAAAAAACAGTAGTTTAACTTCAAATTATTAAAATTAGTTTCGTATTTAGGTTTCTACAGATTTTACTGGGCACGTAAAGCAAGGCCTCGCGTAGCTTTCAAATAATCAATAACTGAAATAACATCATGCTTAAATAGTGCGATACATATTGTATAAACGGTTGAAAAGTAAAATTAAAATTGACAGCAAGGGGAAATAACATCGTTATTTCTGCTCATTCTATTGCTTATCACAACATCTTACGTTAGAAGATAAAACGGAACTGTGAAAAAAACATAGAAACCAAATTATAAAAAGGAGCGAGAGCGAGAGTAGCGAAACTAATAGGGGGAGCGGAACAGAAAAAGTGTTGCTAGAACTCAAACCTACCCTCCGGAATTACTTGTTACTAAGAACATACTGACTGATGGCACTGACCACGTAATCATTAGCGTCGAAGTTGACGTCGCTCTTCTCGTCCGACATCGAACTTAATTCGCCAGTCATGGTGTCGCCATTGACGGTGGACGGTGCATACATATCCGCGGTCTGCGACTTATTAATGCCTATTCAAAAATAACATACGTTAAACATGTGTGATTAGTAAAGCGAGATGCTAATGGTAAGGCTACACAGCCGCGTACAGAAGATTAATTTAATTGAACTCTCTAAATCTCGTGAAGTGAAATCTCACTTGAAAAGAATGAAAATTTAGTCTGTCTTAAAAGAAGAGAAAATACGACCACTCTTGTTCAAAAGAGGCAGATTTTCACTCTTTTTAGAGTAAGATTTACTCTTTTGAAATGAGATTCACTCTAAAGGAGTGAATCCCTTTTTTGGAATGTAATACCAGAGTAGATGGAATCTCATTCCAAAAAAGAGATTGAGATTTCACTAAAAATAAATCTCACTTTAAAAAGAGTAAAAATCTGCTACTCAAGATATTTTCATTCTTTTTTTAGAATAGGCTAAATTTTCAGTCTCTTCAAATAATATTTCACTTCACGAAATTTTGAGAAAAACAATATCATTTTATTTTTTTAACTATACAAGTAAATCGCGAATATTGTTGACAACATATGTGAACAAGAAAAGACACAATAATATTAACAAAATTATAATCATGAATTTATTATTTTTGTAACTTTATCAGTATATATCATAGTTATATATTTATTAGTATAGTTAATTAGCTTTATTTAATTGACATAATTGAAGTCAGACAATTCCTTAAACATTTTAATTAGATTAAATGTATAGTATGTACGTAATTTTCATTTTACTTTAAAATCTCTTTCAAAATTGGCTAAGAAAGTAAACTCATCTTCTGCCATGACTGTAGCTGAACGTTGGGTAAAATCTTATAATTTGAAGCGCATACGCGCTAAGTATTGTTAGTCACAAACTTACGAGTTTTATTTCGTTTTCGTATTATGTACCACGACATGATGAAGACATTAACGATAAAAATGATGACGGAAGTCGCTGCTAACGTATAGATATAATTCATCGGAAAGTCACCCTTTTCCGAGAGGACATCCGGCAGGTTTTCCTCGTTATTCGGGCCTAGAGAAATAAAGGAGAGAAAGGACACATGATAGATATTATATTTACCGGTACGTTGGACCTTCTTTTTCGATTTTATTGTAGCAAAGACTATGGTTGCGGCAATGAGTAGGCAAGCAGAGGCGGAAACAGTGATGATAATGACGATGATGTAGGAGGAACTATTCTCGCTTGATGTCGACTCGGTTGGTGGCGCCTCGCCTGTAACCCAAGCCAATGCCCCATCACCGGTTTATGTTATTCATGCAATGTGTCTACTGTTAGTTACACGTTCAACTTCGAAATCCTCGGCTATTGCGAATGCTGTAACGCCGCTTATTGGATTTTACAGCCATTGGATTTTACAACTAGATAAGTCAAATAGCAACTAAATACTTGCTCAGCTTATATCCCTATAAAAAAGCAAGCAAGTAACTTGTCTTTCTACATTATAAAATAACCATAATAATGCGCGGTAGTTACGTACAGTTCAATTTCTAAATTTCAATTGTAATTTCCTTCTCAAACTTACAATTTATTTAATTTGGAACTAGAAGCATTTGGAAAAATACAATTTCAAAAATATTTCAAGGCTAAGCGTCACCGTACTGATACCATTGGAATGAATCATGCTGAAAATCACTGCGTTATACGTATGATATTGTATATGCTATGCTACGTAATGTCCAATGTACTTTATTACAACTAACCCACGATATAATGCCATGCGAACATTCACGAGACGCACTAAATATATGTAACATAATACACGATCAACCCAATTACTGAGTACAATTAATTATGTGGATGCGAGGCAATCGCGTTTAATTATGTCTCGATGATCTGCATAATGATTTAGCAAGCTGTTATTTTCTATCATGTAGTGTAAATAACTTAGAACTACCTAGTATAGATATTTCGCTTATGAGAAAAAAAAAATTACAATCTTCATGAGAATGGTCTTTATGATTATGAGTTCTGTTAATTACGTCATAATGCTATAGTGGAAAGCTGTTTTTGCTATTTTCGAGTAGTGAAGCGATCTACGGTGTTTATCTACAACTTACGAAGCGTCTGGACTTTGACGAGATCTGGTAAGAAACCGCTGTCTCCCTTTTCGTTGATGGCCTTTACGCTAAATACGTAATAAGTCCCTAGCGACAAGCCGGATATAGTAGCCTTGTATTCGCCGGGCACGACGTCCAGGTAGTGATAACGATCGTCGTAATCCAGCGCTTGTCGCCATCGTATTTGATGAGACGTCGGCAAACCGCCGTCGAAACCGCGTTTCCAAATCAACGTGACTGAGTCGTGCGTATAGTTGTAGACTTCCAAGTCGCTCGGCTTGTCCGGCGGTGAAGTGACGTCCAAAAGTATATTTTCTGTGGAGTGTCCCATTTTATTTTGGGCAAGACATTCGTACTTTCCGTAATCCTGCGATCTCACTTTGTAGATGGTCAACGTTGTTTCCGAATAAAGTTCCGATAGCTAGGAAACGTAGAGACGAATTATTATTTTATCATTAAGAATGCAAATATTATTAAGACATGAAATCAAAAAGATATTTCGAATGCGTAACTGTCTTTCGAGTATATAATTCTTGTAATAATACAGTTATCGTTTCTCTCGGCAAAATTTTAATTGGGTGTTGTGACCTCTTTACAACTTTCGAACTTGCAACGGTAAATATCTCCTTAACTGTCCGACATGGAAATTCTATCAAAGCGAAATTCGTTCGAAGTTAAACGAAGAACAAGATTTACAGTACGCGATACAATACTATGGAGCCTAGGTGCTCTAAAGGAGATATACTGGTAAAGGAAGTCGTTATTTAAGAGATAAGTACATCTTATAAAGCGACTTACATCGCTGTGAGTGATACTGTATTTATCCTCGGTTGCATTCGGCAATAAAGTTTTCCCATTGAAGATCCAAGTGAAATGCGGCAATGGAGATCCTCGCGCTTTGCAGAACAATTGGACGTTTATTCCTTTGTTCGCCGCTGCCTTTCGCGTCAGCGGGGTGTTCGTCATTTCTGGTTTAACTGCGCATAAAAGTACCAGTAAATTCTTTATTACGCGCTTTCCGATACATGAATCGCGTACACGAATATATTTCAAAAAGTTTCGCATATATTCCACGTGTATATCTATAACTGCTTTTTTTATTACGATATAATTAAACGATATTTTTGCAATAATTATAGAGCGACTTCTTATTATTAACTATTATTGACTATTATTGATATTGGCTAAAGCACAATTATTGTAATAATAACATTATAAATTTAATTATTAATATCTATAATTAGGATACTTTTCACTAAACTATTAATATAATTGTTTGTTGTATAAATATTAAGCTTAAATAAATATTTGTAGTCAATATTATTAGTATTTCACACAGAAATTTTTCAATTTTTGTTTCACTTGTTAAATTCATTACTCGTGTTTACTTTTTTTCTAAAAATATAGTAACAGCTAAAACCATTACTAAATGATGTATTACAATTAAATTCACACGATACACAGAAATTAAATTATATATATCGTATGATGCAATATTTAAATTATTAAAATTATTATTAAACCAAATCCATCCAATTTTTATCGTCTATTCATGCTTAGAATTTCTCACTTAGGATTCGGCAGTATTATCATTGTAAATAATTAAATTAAAATTCTTCACGTACAATTAGTAATAAATAGAATAGGATCCGATGTTATGTTGCCAATGCCGTTGTTGACCTTGCATCGATACTCGCCAACGTCTTCTTGGCTGGGATTTTCTATGTGAAGATACGACGTCCGATTAATGAATGATGTCGAGTAACGTCCCGGCAACTCAGGATTCGATCCTATTTTCTGCCATGTGACATACTCGTCGCCGATCGGACTGCCGTCGACTTCACAAAACAGCTTTGCTTCGATACCCGGTGGATAAACTATCCCTGACGAGGAAGTACGCTTGATTTTAGCTGGATCTGTAGGATATAGTGAATAAAATGATGAGTTATGATTCGCATATTAGCAAAAACAATTTTAGACATACATTAAACTAAAACTTTTTAAAATCACTTGATGTCTAAAAAATCACT